TACATTCACGGGCATTTCTGCTGAATTGTGACAGCTTCACAGATCTATGTATGAAGGCTCGTGAGCGAGAGAAGACCGCAGCAGGTTGAATGATCGAGTGTCTCTGTGCCATCGCTGTTGTGCAATCAAGGACCAGGCGCTAGCACCTCGACCAGATCATCTCCTGTAGTCTCTGTTCCAAGCTTTCCTATCTCGATCCGGTTCAAGCTGTGAGAAGCGACAGCGCAGCGGAACTCAGCCAGATTGTAGATAGGACGCTTTTTCCTTTTCCCCACATCCGAGCGCTCTAGTACTCACTCGGCGACGAAACTTGTACCCCACCAGCTAGCTGTGTGCTTGTTGACATATCTGCTCAATTTATCGAAATTGGCCTTGCGTGTAGCTGGTGCCATTGTCAGAGCTTCGTGAATCGCGTCTGCGACCGCAAATTTGTCCCATGGGTTGACGATCAGAGAGCCATTCAATGATCTGAGAATGGCAAACAGACTCATAAGAGATTCTGACAATCAAACAAGAGATTCAAAGGACCCTGCCACTCACTGAGCTGCTCCTGCAAATTCAGAAAGGATCATAACTCCGTTGCGTTGTTGCTGGCAAGCGATGTACTCGTAGGATACCTTTCGAGAGCAGAATACAGCCAAAGTCAAATTCAGTTCTCGCGCAAAGTTCGGAATGATTGTGCCAACACTCACCAAATTCATGCCATCTCTAGTGCTGGTGACGAGGCAAGCATCGGAGATAGCATACAGAGCACAAAGCTCTTCGAAATTTACCGATCGATGGATGAAATGAATCGGCATGCTCTCGACGGTACCAAATCTGCCATTGATACGTCCTACAGCTTCGTTGATTATGGCTCTCAAGTTCTGATACTCTTCCACGTCTTGTCTTGATGGGACTGCTACTTGCACCAAGACAACCTTATGTTGCACACAGTGCGAGCCATCGGCGTAAGCATGTGCTCCGATCCTTGGACAACCTAGCATGCCTAGCGCTGACTTACTTTTCCAACCCATTCAGGATGCTCCTGCAAAAAGGTCTCGAGCGCATGCAACTTCTGCGGAATGCCCTTAATGTAGTCCAGGCGATCCACTCCCACGATTATCTTGACACCTTCGAAGCGTCTCTCCAGCGCTCTCATCCTAGTCTTGACCGCGTCTCTTGCCAGCCCTTCGATGAATTGTGCCGGCTCAATGCCGATCGGATAAGTGCCGACGTGCACGTATCTGCCTTCAAATTCGGCTCCATTGGGCATAGTTGGAAGTCCTAAGATCCGTGTGCAAGAGGACAAGAAATGCCGCGCGTAGTCGTACGTGTGGAAGCCGACCAAATCGCAGTGTAGAACGCCAAGGAGAATCTCACGTCTGACAGGCAGAATTCTGCAAGACGCCCAGTGCAACAGCATCACAAGTCAGTATTTGGGTCGCGGGGGTCCCATCGACTGGGGCTCTTCAGCCAACGTACCTATAGATTTCGCTGCTCGGAAACGGAGTGTGAAGGAAGAATCCAATTTTGACGCTTCCCCTCGAAGTGGTTCCGTCCGCCGTACCTCTTCCCCTGCCGTCTCCATCCTCGTCATCTTCTTCCATGGCAGCGACAGCCTGGGCTGATGTTCCACCTTGAACGTGCAGGTTGGTAGCCGTGGTTGATGTTCTGTGAGAGTTCCCCGAGGCCACTTGGGCTGCAGAGTGT